GTGGGCTCCACGTCCGTGGCTGCTGCTCAGATGTCCCCATGAAGAGGCTGGCTCTGGCCTCCACGGTGGCCCAGGGCCAGGGCAGGAGGGCACAGGGCTTGGGTGTTGCCCCACTTGACCCAGTCACACCAGGAAGCACGGACGGAGTGCCTCCCAGAGCCCACGGCCCTGCCAGGGGGAGGATGCTGTGTGCGTCTCCCCACAGGCACATGCCACATGTGCACATGCGTGTAAGAGCCGAGCAAACATGATGTCCTACCTCAGTTCCCGCTCCAACTAGCCCTCCACAGATGTCCTACATGTGGTTTGTAAGCAAGTTATACAAGACATTCAAAAAAACAAATGGCAGAAAGTATCATGAGCGTCACAGAAGTGCTTTCTTGCTCATTTCCCTTCAAGATCCACAGTCCACACATAGTTGTGGAAATAGCACCCCCATTTCAAGCTCCTGGGGACCAAGCCCCACAGAGCAGGTCTCAACGTGGTCTCTCCGGTGACATGTGCTGAGAGCCACTGCCTCCTGGTCTCCCAACAGATTCCCTACCCACCCACTCCCGTCCTGCCGAAGGTTGGGCGGAGAGACAAAGCTTGGATGGATGGATGGATGGATGGATGAAGGGAGGCATTTCTGGGTGACAAATACTCAGACCGTGTCTTTCTTGAGTCTCCCTCATGCCACCCTCAGCTTCACCTCCCTGGAGAGCCAAGTGTGACTGCAAGCCTCCCCGCTCAGCAGTCACTCCACATTCATAGTCCAACGTGTGGTGTCCAGAACATAACCTCAGAAAGGATCAGAGTCTGGCCCAGGGCTGTTCACCGGCCACACTGAGATTCTGTCAGCCAAGAGAACTCTGCCAGGAAATCCGTATCTCGGACGAGCCCACCTAGACCCTGCCTCCCAGTGAGCACACTGGCTGAGGAGAGCCAGACTGCAGGTGGGATCTCCTTAGCCACCCAGGCCCCCAGCCAGGCACGCCCTCCCTTCGTGCTCTGCGGTCAGCGCTCCTGTCGGCAGCTGCTATTACACCGTATGTTATTATACAGCCGCTCTTTGTTGTTTAGAGTAAAGAAGGAAAGAACCTTTCTTACTAAATATCGCACGGCTACCCTATCATTCGATGACAAACTAGCACTTTGAGAAAACGAAACTGAAAATCAGCAATGAATTGGCCGTCCAGACCTCCAGTGAGCGTTCCTCGCCGAGTCTACACGTTTCTGGCTCTTTTACATCCGGGAATTCATCCGCACACGTTTATAGGGTGAGACAACCAATCAATGAGGTGACAACGCTCCCTCCGACCGGTGACATCAACCCCCAGGTGCTAAAACTAGAAGCAGGCTTTATTATGACGTATTACTGGGTCCACGTGCAATTACTTGCTGGTATATTTGGAACCGTTACATTTATTTTTAAGAGATCCACCAAAGGACTTGTATGCATGCATGTAAGCACAACCAATGGACGCAGGACAGGGGGGGGGTGAGGGCATGTGGGAGGGGGGGGTGAGGGCAGGGGAAGGTCCATTGGAAAAAGAGGAGACAATGTACTACTGTTGATAACACTTTAAGCAATAAAACAAAAAAAGGAAAATATGTAAAAGTTAAAAGTCCACAAATGGGATGCAGGCAGAGTCATCTTAAACTGCGTTTGCCCAGGACCATGTGAAGGCAGGCGAAGTCTGGAGACACAATGGGGCTCACCCTTGTGAATTCACACATCAGCCATAATTCACATGTCAGCCATGGCACAGAGCCCCCTCCACACACACACACACACACACACACACACACGCCACCCCTGCCTGCACCCGCCTACGACACCAGGAGGGCGGAGGTCAGCTCCGGACCGAAGGGTCCACAGAAAAGGGAGCCCAGAGGGACCGGAAAGGCCGGACCGGGCAGAGCACGGCTGCTCGGAGCGGCCGGGCGGGTTTCACATCGGCGTCACACACTGAAAGGCGCGCCCGCTCAGGGCCCCCGCCTGGGTGCCGCGCTGGCCCTTTGTGTCTGTGGCTCCGAAAGAGGGTGATGGGCGGATAAGGAGAAAGTGAGAGGCCGCGGCCGCTCCTGAGACCATCTTAAGTGGCCTCAGAAGTCGGATCGGGCGGCAGCGGCCTGAAAATCGATCTCACTGTTTGGAATCTGTTTGTTTCCTTAAAGGGGAAATAGAAAAGAATGCCTGATGAAGTGATCCCGGGCCCGTCATCAAAGGGAAAGCTTCAGGATAAGCCGTCCTGATCCGGCCCTGCCTCCGCCAGCCCTGGCCGCTCGGAGCGGGAGCTGGGACACAGCTTCTCTTCGCTTCTCCCCACATGCTGAGCTCCGGGGAGGGAGGGTTAGGTACCCAGGGGGGTGCCCTAAGAGAGAAAGGAAGTGCAACAGCAGGGATGAAGTAGGAAGGGGCTGTTCGTTTGTTTTTTAATTTTTTAAATATATATATTTTTTAATTTCAGAGAGTAAAGAAGGAGAGAGAGAGAGAGAGAGAGAGAGAGAGAGAGAGAGGGAGAGAGAGAGGGAGAGAGAGAGAGAGAGAGAGAGGGAGGGAGAGAGAGAGGGAGGGAGAGGGAGAGAGAGACGCGTCAATGATGAGAATCACTAATTGGCTGTCTCCTGCACGGCCCACATTGGGGATGGAGCCCACAGCCTGGGCCTGGGCCTGGGCCTGTGCCCTGACCAGGAATCCAACTGTGACCTCTTGGTTCACAGATCAACACTCAACCCCTGAGTGGCACCTGCAGGACGGAAGGGAGCTGTCTCTGCACAAACGCAGTGAACGTGTGTGAGCGCCAGCAATGGGGCAGCGACACCCCTGCTAGTACCAAGCTGATTTCAACCAGGAGTCCTGCTGAGCGTCTCACTGAATCCCCGAATCCCCACAACCACCACCTCCCGGGCAGGTACGATCCGCGTCCCCACTTCGCCCATCAGCACCAAAGGCACAGAGAGGCTCAGTCACCTGCCCGCGGTCACACAGCGAGAGCGGGGCCGAGCCGGGACGTGATCCCGGGTGCCGCCAGCTCTGAGGCCCGTGCTCTCTGGTCGGCGTCTGCTCCCTCGCACAGGCGGCCCCCGTTCACACCTCCATCGCCGCCCGGACTGAGCCTCACACCGTCCACGGAAGAGACGGGACACTCAGAGGGCCCTGTCCCGTGTGCGTGGGGCTTCCCCAGAGCGACGCCCAGCCCGGCGGAGCTGGGACTGACTTCCTGCTGTGGATCTTGCACACACAGATACGCAGGGGCACGGAGCAGGGAGGTCAGATTAAAGGCGGGAAAACGTGTCCTCGCGAAGGAAGCTGGCACAACGGGACCTCCGGTGACAAAGGGCCGGGACCCCCAGGGCTGCCTCGGGGCAGGAATAGCGTCCTGAAGGGCCTGGCTGGCTAGGGAGTGGATCCCTGTGAAATCCTGCAGCAAACAGCTGAAGCACCTGGCACTGAGAAGCAAAACGATCCCATCTTTTCTGCCTGGTCACTGCCTCTCACCCCGCGTCTGGTTGGAGGGCCAGGATGGAGGAGGGGGACTAGCGGGAAGCGGTTACTGTTTCAAACTGTATCCGAGGTTGGAAGCTGTAGCCAGGGGGAGCCGCCCAGAGCAGCCCGGTTTCTTAACCCAGAGAGCAGGTGTGGGCGGCACCTGACCCGGCTCCCCAACCCAGACCCCCCTGCAGGCCCATCCCGGACACCCCTGCAGGCCCGTCCAGGACCCCCCGCAGGCCCGTCCCGGACCCCCCTGCACGACCGTCCCACACCCCCCCGCAGGCCCGGCCCGGACCCCCCCGCAGGCCCGTTCCAGACCCCCCCCCCCGCAGGCCCGTCCCGGACCCCCCGCAGGCCTGTCCCGGACCCCCCTGCATGACCGTCCCACACCCCCCCGCAGGCCCGTCCCGGACCCCCCCGCAGGCCCGTCCCGGACCCCCCGCAGGCCTGTCCCACACCCCCCTGCAGGCCCGTCCCGGACCCCCCGCAGGCCGGTCCCCGGACCCCCCCGCAGGCCCGTTCCAGACCCCCCCGCAGGCCCGTTCCAGACCCCCCCCCCCCGCAGGCCTGTCCCGGACCCCCCCATAGGCCCATCCCCGGACCCCCCACAGACCCATCCCGGACCCCCCGCAGGCCGGTCCCGGGCCTTCCTGGGGCTGTGCCCTCAGGTTCCTCCCAGCACAGACCCCTCGGATTCAGACTCAGAGCAGCACCTGCTCCGCTCACCGGGAGAGAGGAAGGCCCGCCTCCTCCTGGCCTCCCGCTGGGAAATTCTCACCTGATCACCTTGGGAACCCTTCTCCTGCTCATTGCAATTCGCTGCCTTTCCGCGGGGAGGTTTGGGCCACGCTGCCTCTAAGCCCAGCATTTGGGGAGGATTAGAATTCCAGTGCAATGCGCATTCCTGCCCCAAAGGGCGTTTGCACAAAGCTCCTCTGTGAGCCACTGGGCTCCTGACGCCTGGAACCGCCTGTGAGCTCAGCCCCGCAGCCCCTTCTCCTCGGGCGGTTCAGCCAGGCCCCGCTCTCCTCCCAGTGAATGAGGGTGAGGCGGGCAGCCAGGCAGGCGCTCAGGGAGTCACCCATCCCCTTTCCTTCCATGTTCAGTAAGGATGATCATTTAGATAAAAGCCCAGGTTCCTCCCAGACACACCTATGGCTTCCACCGAGCAGGACCCCGTGCCGGGCTGTGACCAGCCCGCTGGCCGCTCCCGCCCCCTCGCCTCACCCCCTCACCCCCCTGGTTGCATTTTCCTTAAGTTTCGGAGCTTCCTTTGCAGAACCCGCTCTGAATACCAACAGGGCTTGGCGCATTTTTTTAAAAAACTAAGTTCTTCCATCACCTCCTGGCTGGGGGCCCCCCAGGAAAGGTTCCAGGACAAAGGGGGGGGGGATCTGGCAGCACCCTGACTCCCACACCTCCACCCCCTCAGCTCGCAAACCAGCCACACCCGCTCGCTCCTCCCTCCGGCCCCCTGGCCGCCCGCCCGCGGGGGGTAAGGCCCGGGAGCCAGCGGACTCACCTTCACGAAGAGCGTGATGTCGTGCTCGCGGCCCCGGGCGCCCTCCGCGGACGCCTCGCCGTCCTCCTCGCGGCCGTTCGCGGGAGCCGCCTCCTCCTCCGCCGCCGGCAGGTGGTTGCTGAGCCCCGCGGCCCGGGGCTGCGCGGCCTCCCCGTCCCCGTCCCCGTCCTCGCTGCCCCCGGCCGCCGCCTCCTCGCCCGCCCTGTCTGGGCCCCGCACTGAACTGTCCCCCTCCTCCCCCTCCTCTGCCTCCTTCTCTTCCTTCTCTTCCTCCTCCTTCTCCTCCTCCTCCTCCTCCTCCTTCATCTCTTCCTCCTCCTCCTCTGCCTCCTCCCTCGCCTCCCCCGCCTCCGGGGGCCCCTCCTGGTCCCCCTCCTCGCCGTTCCCGGGGGCCGCTTCCTCCCCGGGGGCCCCACCCTCCTCCTCAGCCCCCGCCTCTGCACCCCCCGCATCTGCACCCCGAAGCTCCCCCGCGGGCCCTCCGCTGCTGCCGCCCCCGCTCCCCGCCGCCCGGGCCTCCGCTGGCTCCCCCAGCGGCGGGGGGCTGCGGTCCCGCCCGGCCCCGGGCTCGCCCGCCGCCCCGGACGCCCCTCCCGCCAGCCCCGCCACCTCCTTCTCCCCGGGGCCCGCGGGGTCTGGGGGCGCCCCCGGAGCCTCCTCCGCCCCCGCCTCGCCCTGCGCACAGCGCCCCGGGCTCGCCCCCTGCCCGCGCCCCGGGGCCTCGGCCTCGCCCTGCGCCCCGCTGGCTGCGGGCCTCTCAGCTTCCTCCACCCCCGCTTCGCCCTGCGCACAGCGCCCCGGGCTCCCCCCCTCCGCCCGCTCCGGCCCGCCCGCCTTCTCCCCGCGCCCCCGGGCCTCCCCGCCGTCCCCGGCGCCCTCGGGGGCCTCGGCCTCGCCCTGCGCTCCGCTCCCTCTTGGGGTCTCAGCCCCCGCGTCCCCCGCGCACCCTCCGCCCGGCCCCGCGCCTTCGCCCGCCCTCAGCCCCGCCGTCGCGGCGGCGTCCTCCCCGGCGCCCCCCGAAGCCTCTGCGCTCTCAGCCTGAGGTGCCCCCTCCCGCGGCCCCAGGGCCCCCGGGCCCCCCGCTGGCTCTGCGGCCTGGGCCATGGCCGCGGGCTGTCCTGGGCCGGAGACCCGCCTGAGGCTGCGGGCCGGTGGCGCCGGGCGCGGGGACAGTCCGCTCCGGGCGGGGCCCCCTCGGTGCGCTGGGCGGGGGAGAGCCCGCTGGCCCAGGACCCTGGCCCTCCCGCGGGGCGGCTCCTCCAGGCCCGGCTTCCCGCTGCGCCCCAGTCCCCGCCTGCGCCCCGGTCCCCGCCTGCGCCCCGGTCCCGCCTGCGCCCCGCTTCCTGCCGGCCCCCCCTGAGCCGCCGCACCTGTGCGCAGGGCCCCGTCGGTCTGACCACAAGTCCGCGGGCAGCGCTGTCCAGGGGCGGGGGCGGGGCTTCTCCCCACGCCCCCCTGCCCGCCCCTACCCCCTCTTCCCACCCCCTCCACCCTCCTGGTCCCAGGCCCTCCTCCCCGCCCTGCGATTTCAGTGCAAAGAGCCGGTTCTCCGGCCCCTCTGTTTCCTGGAGCCGTTTTCCGTCCCAGCGCAGCCCCCCCCCCCCAAAGCCCTCAGCCCCCTGGGCCCCAGAGCCCCGCGCTAAGCCCGCTGGAGCCCAGCTCCGGCTTCTGTCCAGGGCGGCGGTGTCCTGGGAGGAAAGGGGCGCGGCCACGCCCACCTCCGTCTGCAGACCCGGGGGCTCCAGAGGCCCCCCACGCACAGAGGAGCTCCCAGAGCACCCCCCCCCCGCACAGAGGGGTTCCCAATGCCCCCCCCGCACAGAGGGGCTCCCAGAGCCCCCCCCCCCGCACAGAGGAGCTGCCAGAGCCCCACCCCCCGCACAGAGGAGCTCCCAATGCCCCCCCCCGCACAGAGGGGCTCCCAGAGGCCCCCCCCCGCACAGAGGGGGCTCCCAATGCCCCCCCCCCGGCACAGAGGAGCTCCCAGAGCACCCCCCCCGCACAGAGGGGCTCCCAATGTCCCCCCCGCACAGAGGAGCTCCCAGAGCACCCCCCCCCCCCGCACAGAGGAGCTCCCAGAGGCCCCCCCCCCGCACAGAGGAGCTCCCAGAGCCCCTCCCCCCGCACAGAGGAGCTCCCAGAGGCCCCCCCCGCACAGAGGAGCTCCCAGAGCACCCCCCCCCCGCACAGAGGAGCTCCCAGAGCCCCTCCCCCCGCACAGAGGGGCTCCCAGAGGCCCCCCCGCACAGAGGAGCTCCCAGAGCACCCCCCCCGCACAGAGGGGCTCCCAATGTCCCCCCCGCACAGAGGGGCTCCCAGAGCACCCCCCCCCGCACAGAGGAGCTCCCAGAGCACCCCCCCCCCGCACAGAGGAGCTCCCAGAGGCCCCCCCGCACAGAGGAGCTCCCAGAGCCCCACCCCCCGCACAGAGGAGCTCCCAGAGGCCCCCCCGCACAGAGGAGCTCCCAGAGGCCCCCCCCCACAGAGGAGCTCCCAGAGCCCCCCCCCCCCCGCACAGAGGGGCTCCCAGAGGCCCCCCCGCACAGAGGGGGTTCCAGGGGGTGGAAAGGGGCAGCGGGCTAACCTGACAAGCTCAGGTGAGGCCCTTGAGGCGGCCTAGAAATCTCAGACCCAAAGTAGCCACAAGGCTGGTCTGAAATGAACACTCTTCAGTCCTGTCACTTTTTATCCGACCCCGAGGCTCCCCCTTTGCTTCCTCCTCCTCCCGCTCCCCCTCCATCACCAAGGACTTCCTGTGGCGCTCAGCACCTCCAGGCGGCGGTCATTGGTAAACACAGGAGAAACCCGTTCCCAGGAGCGTGGCCTCAGTCCTCCAGATGCTGCCTCCTGGCCATGTCAGTTTGGCTCACATAAACTCAAAACACTCCCTACAGGTGTGACCCTTCCTCACAGTGAAGCCAGAGGAGCCCGCGGAGCTGCTCTGACCGGGTCCCTGTGCGTGGGGGCCCCTCTCCCCAGTGAAGAGGCCTGGGGGGCGGGCAGGGGGCTGCCCTGGGGGGAGGGGGCTGCCCTGGGGGCGGGGCTGCCCTGGGGGAGGGGCTGCCCTGGGGGGAGGGGGCTGCCCTGGGGGAGGGGCTGCCCTGGGGAGGGGCTGCCCTGGGGGAGGGGCTGCCCTGGGGGGGGGGCTGCCCTGGGGGAGGGGCTGCCCTGGGGGAGGGGCTGCCCTGGGGGAGGGGCTGCACTGGGGGGCAGGGGGCTGCCCTCGGGGAGGGGCTGCCCTGGGGGAGGGGCTGCCCTGGGGGAGGGGCTGCCCTGGGGGAGGGGCTGCACTGGGGGGCGGGGCTGCCCTGGGGGAGGGGCTGCCCTGGGGGAGGGGCTGCACTGGGGGGCAGGGGGCTGCCCTGGGGGAGGGGCTGCCCTGGGGGAGGGGTTGCCCTGGGGGGAGGGGGCTGCCCTGGGGGAGGGGCTGCCCTGGGGGAGGGGCTGCCCTGGGGGAGGGGCTGCCCTGGGGGGAGGGGCTGCCCTGGGGGAGGGGCTGCCCTGGGGGGCAGGGGGCTGCCCTGGGGGAGGGGCTGCACTGGGGGAGGGGCTGCACTCCCTCCATGGGCCCTGAGCACAGAGAGTCTGGATCCTGGGGGTCCCTGAGACCTGAGCCCCGCCCAGTGCGCTGCCTCCAGCTCTGCCTCCCAGCTGTGTGCTGGGAGTTTGGGGAGATGGGGGAGGGGGGGCGGGATACAGGATTTGAGCAGGGCTGTGGAAATCACTGGGTTCGGGATCTCCCGGGACCTCAGACCAGACGCCGTGTCCCGAACTGTGGAAGTGAGGCTGAGCAGCCAGGCCGGACTCGGGTTCCTGGGAACGAGCGGGTGGCCCAGTGTGGCCCAGGTGCCCGTCTGAAGGCGGCGGGGAGGGCCCTGAGGACTGAGGTGAGGAGCAGGCTCTTGCTGGCCATGGCGCTGCCCTGAGACCCCGCAGCCCGCCTGTCCACTCCCATCCATGAGGGCTGTTACCGCAACGATCAGGGCGTGGTGAGAGGTGGGCACGTCTGGCTGTTCACCGGGAGCCTGCTTCTCCTTCCCATCGCTCATCCCTGGTGGCTCAAGGCAGCCGGAGCCCACTGCCGTGCAGACCCCGGCCGCCTGGCCCCAGGCTGGGCCCTCATCAGCCTGAAGCACCGTCTGCTCACAGCCAAGGCCTCTCCCCCCCCCCACTCACCCTGTGACTGCGGGACCTGTCAGCCGCCATCCTGCTCCGCCCAAGCTGCCTCACCCGGAGGCCCCGCAGGTCTCCCCGCACCTGCAGGCATCCCCTCACCCGAGGTGTTCTCTCTCCTGGAGGCGTCCGGCCGCATCATGGGGCAAGGAAACCGCCTCCAGCCTATTTCCTGAGGAAGAAGCCAGAGCCCGGCCCCCAGGGCCCAGGCCCCCTGCACCAGCACAGGACACAGGCACAGCCCTGGGCACCCCTGAGGACTGGCTGTTTCAGAAGAAAGAATCCTTGGGAAGAGGACTGAGTGCGACTAGTGTCTGCCCTGTAGCCAGCGCCCCACCTGACGCACCTTACTATCGCACAGGGACACAGGCTAAACCCTGCCTCCTTCAGGGTCCCCAGATCAAGTTCACCACCAAACGATCTCTGGTCGCCAGAGCCGGTGTGACCCGGTGGATAGAGCGTCAGCCTGCGGACAAAAAGGCCCCAGGTTTGATTCCGGTCAAGGGCACGTGCCCGGGGTTGCAGGCTGGATCCCCAGTAGTGTGTTTGCCTGTGGTTAAACAAAATGTATTTGTGTAGCCCTGCCTGGGGAGCTCTGTTGATGAGAGCATTGACCTGATATACGCCAAGGTTGCAGGTTTGATCCCCAGTCAGGGCACATAGAAGAACCAAACAATGAGTGTATACATAAAGCGGAACAACAACTCTCTCTCCCTCTCTCTCTCCCTCTCTCTCTCTCTCTCTCTGAAATCTATTACTTTAAAGAAATTGATGCACTATTTTTAAATGATTGTAGGATCAAAGCTGAAAACAGGGAAAGCAGAAAATAAGAGCTCTTTGCAATGTATACAGATCTGCAGGGTTACACAGTGGAATATACACAGTTTGTGAATATATATCACATGTTCTTTATCCATTCGTCCTCCAAGGGACGCTGAGGTTGTTTCCACATCCAGACTAGCAATAATGCTGCGATGAAC